AGGGCAGGAATAATAGAAACCAGATGAAATAAACATGCAGCTCATTTATTTATAAATATATTTCAACCCAACAAAAAAAAAAAACAAAAAGGAAATTATTAGATAGTATACGACATACAATCCGTTCATCCAACCAAACGGGTCTGGCTATATGTGACCTCGTACCAAACCAATANTAGAAACCAGATGAAATAAACAGCTCATTTATTTATAAATATATTTCAACCCAACAAAAAAAAGGAAATTATTAGTTAGTATACGACATACAATCCGTTCATCCAACCAACCGGGTCTGGCTATATGTGACCTCCTACCAAACCAGAGACTTTTTAGGTGGAGCCCACACAAATTCAATGGCATCTGCATAGGAACGGGGGAGCAGGTGGTCAGACACCGACAATAGCCCACCGATGGCATAGTCGGATAGAAGAGTCCAGGCTAGAAGCATCGTCATTAAACAAATCCTTTTTTTTGTAAGTCAGAGAAGGGTACGTTACAAAGTTTAGTTTGACAGTTGGTTTATACTTATATATAATTATTATTTTTTCTTTCTTCAAGTCCGAATTGCTTAAAGCAGTAAGTGCTTGGAATGCAAAGAGACGTTGTGACCGCAAATGTCCAAACAATTGTGTAGCATAACGCGATAGATCTTCCAAAACAAAACAAAAAAAAATAAAATATCCTCCGACATTTTTAGTTATAGAAAGAGCATACGATCCCACAGGAATGATAAGGTCTGCTCCAATCACGACTATATATTAAAAAAAAAAACGGAAAAAAATAATAATAATAATAAATATTAATTATTTGAAACCCCGAAGTCATCTGAACCTCCCGCATGTAAATCAGACGGGTTTAAAGAATAAAAAGAGTAAATTGAGGGCTATAGGTAAAGAATATCACGCGGATGAAAGGTGTGCCCATCCCATACAAGACGCGCTCTAAAACTAGAAACGCTGCTATGCATTCAGCGAATGTGCCAAACCCTAAAGCGCCATGCGCAAACGACCCAGCGTTTATAGATCTCTCGGATCGAATTGGGGGCGGTAATGTTGGGGCAAGTGGTGGAGATATTAGGCAGGGAGACTCCAATAATTTACCAGGGAATCAAGATCGCAGTACAGGGGCGGTCCCAAAACAACATAACGAGTTGCAAATAACCCACTCAGTGGGAGTGCCAACACCCACCTTGACCTTTCCCCATCCTCCGTCCACTAACAATAGCGACGCTAACCTGTTAACAGTTTAACCAACGCGCGAGATTTTCGCAACGTGTTAGCGCCGGTTTAAAAGAAAAGGTGGCTGAGGTAAAAGACACTCTCTTAAAAGAGATGCGCGAGAGCTTGCCCGGTTTGAGCAGAACGACAGGTGCAGAAATGGAATCGTCAAGGTTAGGTAATAGGTCGCGAAATCGGAACAACAAAAGAGCAAGACACAACTCCAGTATCGATTCGTTTAATTCCGGACGCTCAGGAGAACTACATAGAAACAACAATATTAATCAAAACCATACAAACAGAAATAATTACGGTGCAATGTCCCATCCGGCTGCGTATGCATGCGCCTTCTCGGAGCCACCACCACCTCGCCAACCGCCAATAGCAGGTGCTGGGATTCCAACAGCTGTCTCCGAAGTCGCTCGTCCGGCATCTGGAAGAGAAAACAAATAAATTAGTAGATCGGAAATCAATATCGAAAAGTGGGGCATAAATTATCAGGGACATCGCGATTCTATGTCTATCGAAGATTTTTTG